CATCTTAGCTGTAGAGGGCAGTGTCACTGGCCCTCATGTGGAATCCGAACCGGGACCCTGATGCTCAGACTGGCGTCCCAAGCCAGGTCTGAACCAATGCGCCACTCAGCCGGCCCTGTACTGTTTCTATCATTAATAAAATCATAGCTTCTGGAATAAAAAAAAGATTGCAAATTGCTACATCATTAGCACGAAACAAGCATGTGCTCTTCATTATGTTTTATTCTTTCACATTGAAATAGTAATTAACATAATATGGTATAGTTTCTCTATTTTTTTGTTTACTTGTCTTTTAGTAGTGATTACAGTGTTTTAATGTTAGAATAAAGAGCCATATTGAAATTTCAGAAATTTATTATATTTTTTTTGTTCTTTAAATTATCAACTGTGATAAAATAGAAAAATGTTGTAAAATGTTTCCACTGTAATAATTGGTGACATTTGGAAGTATAATTTTATTGTTTAAGACAAATTGAAAAGCTTTTTAAAAACTAGCTTGTGTCGACCATTTTACAATCCTTACAACTGTGGACCACCTCCTTTTGTTAAGGAAAAATGTTCCCTTTTTTATTTCTCTGATGTTTTATTCTGCTTCTTCTTCACCTGACTACTCCTCTTTTTCACTCAAATTTAACAAAGCACAGTCCATCACACTTGGGCTTTTAATATTTTATATTCCTCTAGAAAAACCAAAAGCATTACTTGTGGTGAACTCAACCTGTTTTTATTTTTGCAAATTTTTTCTTTTTTTTTTCCTTCCTCCCTTCCCGCTTCCCCTTCCCAGCTGTTGTTCTCAGTCTAGTTGTGGAGGACACCACTCACTGGCCCATGTTGGTGTTATGATCATTGCGCTCTACCTGGCTGAGGTACTTGGTCACCGGCTGTCAGCTGGCCACTCACAGCGGCTCATGGTAGCTCTCGCTGACTGCCGGCCACTCACGCTTTCTACCGGCTGCGGCACATGGCAGCCAATGGCAGCTCACACTGGCCGCCAGCCACTCATGGAAGCCCGGCTCCAGGTTGAGCCATTGTTCACAATCTTAGCTGTAGATGGTGTAGCTTACTGGTGCAGCTTACTGGCCCATGCGGGAATTGAACCAGCAGCCCTGTTGTTCAGAGCTTGTGCTTTTACCAACTGAACTATCTGGCCACCCCCTATTTTTCTTTTTTTAATTACAGTTGACATTCAATATTATTTTGTATTAAGGGCTGGCTGAGTGGCTCAGTTGATTAAGAGCTCGCTCAAGGGTTTGAGCTCTGAGCAACAGCGGTTCGAGTCCGGCCCAAGCTGAGCTGCCGCTGAGCTGCCAACAGGTTGCAGAATGGCTCAGCTAAAAAATATATATATATTATTTTGTATTAGTTTCAGGTGTACAGTATAGTGCTTAAACATTTATATAATGTATGAAGTGATCCTCCTGATAAGTCTAGTTCCCACCTGACACCATACGTAATTATTACAATGTTGACTATATTCCCATGCT